ATCGCAACTGATAATTTGAGAAAATAAAAATGAAGATAAAAGAAACACAAAATTTACGTGAAAAACCCCTAAATAATATAGAAAAAAAACCACAGGCAACGGTAGAAGAATTTTACTATGAGAAAATATGAATTACAACTTCTCTCAATCTACCAAGGAGAAAACACTGACAATTCTCTCTTGATAAAAATGAGAAAACAACTCTCAAGAAAACTCTCTAAATTCTCTAGTATTGGGAGAAAGCTAGAATGATTTGGGATGGTTTTGAAGCTAAATGGGTTAAGGTATTTATAGTTGAAGCTTAAGGACTAATCTTATAAATACCCTAAAGTACAATACTAAATTGTGATTATACCATTTAGCAAATTTCAACAATTGTATACTGCCTTTTGACCATTGCACCGAATTGTGCATTAATGCACCAATTTCGGTGCTGACTTTTAACAATCTCCCACTTGAAGATTTGATTGGAACAATCATATCTTCACACCATTCTTTCTACCTTGTATCATCATGTTGTTTACGTTTCTGACAGGCCACAAGAGGATCGACACCAAGTAAATTTATCAACATTGATTGCCTTCGTCATGAAATCTGCTATGTTGTCTTTGGTATGGATTTTATGCATATCTACAGTCCCTTCTTCAACCTTTTCACGAATGAAATGGTACTAAACTCGTATGTGTTTTGTCCTTGAATGAAATGTTGGATTCCTTGCTAGATGCAAGGCGCTTTGACTATCACAAAATAGAGAGACATACTCTTGATTGTGCCCAAACTCCTCCAATAGCATCTACAACCAAATTGCTTATTTACTGGCTTGTGTAACTGCTACATATTCTGATTCTGTTATTGACGTAGCCACAACTGACTGCAATTTTGAAACCCAACTTACAGCTCCACCAGCAATTTTGAAATGTATCTCAAAACCCTCTTTACTGTATTCCAATGTTCTTTGCCTGAATTCGCCATGTAACGACTAACTATTCTCACTGCTTGTGCAATATCTGGTCTTGTGCATATCATAGCCAACATTAAACTTCCCAATGCCGATGCATACGAAACTCGAGACATCTCCATCCTCTCTTCTTCACTGCTAGGACTCATACTGGAGGATAATTTGAATTTAATAGGAAGAGGGGTAGAAATTGGCTTACAATCTTGCATGCTGAATCGTGACAAGATCTTCTTCAAGTAATTCTTTTGTGAAAGTCAAATCTTCATATTACTTCTGTCTCGGTGAATTTGCATCCCTAGAATCTTGTTTTTTTGATCCCAAATCCTTCATTTCAAATTCCCTAGCTAGTTGTGCATTCAATTCTTCAATATGATCTTTGTTGGGTCCTGCAACCAACATGTCATCCATATACAACAACAATATAACAAAATCATTATCACCAGACCTCTTGAAATAAGCACAAGGGTATGCATGAAGTTTGTTGTATCCAAGGCACATAATGAAGGAATCAAATCTCTTATACCAACACCTCGGCGCCTATTTTAGACCGTAAAGAGATTTGTTCAACCTGCAAACCAAGTTCTTCTTTTCTTTTTCTTCAAAAACCTTCAGGCTATATCATGTAAATCTCTTCTTCAAGATTTCCATGAAGAAAAGTTGTTTTAACATCTAGCTGCTCTAGATGTAAGTTCAATATAGCACACATTGCCAAAACTACTCGAACTGTTGTTAGTCAAACCACAGGAGAAAATATTTCATTGAAATCAATACATTCTTTTTTAGCATATCATTTGACCACCAGTCTTGCATGATACCTCTCCACTTGATCGTAACCGTTTCGCTTGATTTTGAAGACCCATTTGTTACCAATTGGCTTCCTTCCTTATGGTAGTGGCACAAGGTCTCATGTATTATTTTTATGAAGGGCTTCAATTTCTTCTTGCATCGCCATCATCCACAGTGAATCATCTGAGCTATTTATTGCCTCCTGATATGTTGATGGCTCACCGTCCTCTGTTAAAAGGTAGTATGCAATATTTCCTTCTATAACATAATCTGAGTGCCCATTGGGACGTCTTCTCACACGATCTGATTGACGAGTTGTTGGAGCTTCAGAACTCTATGGTTCTTGTTCATCATGTGCTAGTTCTGCTTCAAGAATCTCCTTGTTCAACCTCTTTTCCTCATGTATCTGTATAGTCTCTGACTTTTCAGCGCTATCATCGCCTTCTTTTCTTTGTAGCTTATCTTCTGCAAGGATAACATCTATGCTAATGATCACTTTGTGGGCAGTGGGATCCCACAAGTGATACCCCTTTACGCCATCAGCATACCCCAAGAATTTGCATTTCTTGGATTTTAGATCCAGCTTTGAAATTTCTTGGGAGTTGTACATCACGTACATAATACTTCCAAATACATGGAGATTTGAATAATTAGCTGGTTTACCAGTCCACATCTCCATTGGTGTCTTCAACTCTATTGCAGTTGATGGAGCTCGATTCACCAAATAACAGGCGGTATTGACTGCTTTTGCCCAGAATGATTTTTCTAGGCCTGCATCCTCAACATTGCTCTTGTTCTTTCTAACAAGGTTTTGTTTATCCGCTCTGCTACTCCATTTTGTTGAGGAGTGTTCGCCTCTGTGAACTGTCTTTTGATGCATTCTTTCCTGCAAAAGTCATCAAATTCTTCACTTGTGTATTCTCCTCCATTATTTGTTCTGAAACACTTGATCTTATTTCCATAATCAAGTTCCACTCGTGCTTTGAAGATTTTGAAAGTGGAAAACACATCTGATTTCTTCTTAATAGGGTACACTCACATCTCCTGGAGTAGTCATTAATAAATGAGACAAAGTATTTTGCTCCGCCTAGGGATGTAACTGGTTCTTGCCATACGTTAGAATGAACCAATTATAGAACACTTTTGCCTCTAGAATTTGACGTGTTGAATTTCAACTGGTGCTGCTTACTTGTTATGCAATGCTCACACAAAGTAAGTGATACTTTTGTTAAGCCTGGAAGTAGCTTTTGCTCCACAATAACTTTCATTCCTTGTTCTGACTTGTGTCCAAGTTTCTGATCGCATATCATTGCCGAATCTGAACTACATGAGGCAACAGAGGCTTTTGCTTCTAGCAAAGTCTCTCCCTTTAGCATGTACAAGTTTGTTGCTATCTTTTCACCTTTCAGCACCACAAGCGCTCCACGAAACACCTTCATGATTCATTTTCGTGTTTCAATCTTGCTTGTATTATTATCCAACAGTCCGTAGGATAATAAATATTTCTTCAGGCCTTTCACGTGCCGCACATCTCAAACAACTTTAATTGTTTCATCATACATCTTCAATTTGATGGTTCCAATGCCAATGATCTCTAAGGCATGATCGTTGCAACTATACACAGATTCTCCTGAGACAGATTCATAATGATGAAACCATTCTCTTCTTGAGGTCATGTGATATGTTGCTCCCGAATCAATGAGTCATATATCTGCAAATCGTTTCCTTACTTCCACGGTGATTGACGCTTCACAACATAGAGCATCTCTATTATCTGAAGTGTTTGTTGTATTGCCTTGTGGATTGGAGTTTTTATTTAGACTCCAACAATCCTTCTTCAAGTGACCATTCTTTCCACAATTGTAGCACTTTAAATTCTTTTTGCTTCTCGACTTCGATCTACCATGTTTGTGACTGCTGCTTTGGTCACGTTCTGTTGATCTCCCTCTCATTGTTGTCAATGCTTCTACTTGTTGCATATTTACTTGTATGTCTTCCTTGTTCTTGCGCCAATTTTATTCTAGTAGAAGAGTAGCTGCAACATCATCAAAGACTAGACTGGTGACATTATTGTTTGTCAAGTTGATGATGAGTTGATCATACGAATCCGGTAGACTTTGAAGTAAAAGTTCAACACGTTCTTGTTCTCCTATTTTACAGCTTAAAGATGTAAGCTGAGAAAATAAAGTGTTCAGTGTATTTAAGTGCTCCGTCACTGAAGTAGATTCTGGCATACGGAGAGTGTACAATTTCCTCTTAAAGAAAATTTTATTGTGCAACGATGTGGCCTCGTATAATTTGGTGAGATGATCACATATCTCCTTAGTTATCTTCTTCTCTTCGATGCTTGACAATACTTCATCTGTTAATGCTAGATGAAAGTTTGTCATACTATTCCCGTCAATCTCGATCCATTTGTTGTCATCTGTGAAATCTACAGGCCTTTCACTGATAGCTGCTAGACAACCGTCTTTCCTCATGATGACATTCATCTTCAATTTTCACAATAAGAAATTTCTCCTATTGAATTTTTCAATATCAAATTCCGTTGCCATAGCTTCTATTACGGATAGCTCCCACTATTTCACTATCGTGAATAGTTCTCTGGAACCTTTAAAGAATGAGTAATACCTTCTTACCTTCTTATGTTGGAGGATCCACCTTTTTGGTGACAACCACAAAGACAATAAGCAGATATTACACACTTAAATCTGGCTCTGATACCAATTATTGTGGAAGACGGCTATATGATAGAGAAAAATCGTAACTGATAATTTGAGAAAATAAAAATGAAGATAAAAGAGACACAAAATTTATGTGGAAACCCCCTAAATAATATAGGGTAAAAACCAATTGCAACAGTAAAAGAATTTTACTATGAGAAAATATAAATTACAACTTCTCTCGATTTATCAAAGAGAAAACAATGACAATTCTCTCTTGATAAAAAGAGAACAACTCTCAAGAAAACTGTCTAAATTATCTAGTATTGAGAGAAAGCTAGAATGCTAGAATGCTTTTGGATGGTTTTGAAGTTAAATAGGTTAAGATATTTATAGTTAAAGCTTAAGGACTAATCTTATAAATATCCTAAAATACAATGACTAATTTATGATTATACCATTTAACAAATTTCAACAATTGTGTACTGCCTTTTGATCATTGCACCGAATTGTGCATTAATGCACCAATTTCGGTGCTGACTTTTAACAATAGTTAATCAAATTCTTGGTCCAGAACTCTCGTGGCAACCTTATCACGAAGAAAACCAAACGACTAATTCTTCAAGAAGGGGCATCCCAAGATACATACCCGGATCATCAACAGCCGAAACACCAACTAGAGAACAAAGGTGTGACTGACGTTCAGGTGTAGCTGGTGAGAAATAAATACTCGACTTGGTGAAATTAACTTTTTGCCCAGAAAGTTGCTCATTCAAAGCCAGAATATCACGAATCCGGGTGAATTCAGCATCGGAATTGCGTAAAAACAACAGACAATCTTCCGCGTAGAAGGGGTGTGTAATACGTGGACCGTTTTGACAAACCCGTAGACCAAGAATACGATTATGAGCTTGTTCCCAATGCAACAAAGACGAGAGTCCCTGAGCACACAACACAGAGAAATGGGGACAGCGGGTTGCCTTGGCGTAAACAACAAGTCGGAGTGAAACAATCTGTAAGAAACCCATTAATCCGCACCTGATACGATACTAACACATGACATTATCAATGTAACCCATTGTTCCACAAATCCCAAACGAAGTAACATGGACTGTAGGACAGATCATTCTACCTTGTAATACGCTTTCTCCGTATCAAGTTTAAGTGCAGCACCAAGGGATGCACCACTATTATCATGTTTTAAAAAATAAAACAACTAGTGTGCAATGAGTACGTTATCCGTAAATAAGCGACCAGGAATAAATGCATTTTGATTATCATCAATACAATCCGTTAGAAGTGGGCGTAATCGATTAACAAGAACTTTGGCAACAATTTTATAAATAACAGTACAAAGAGCAATCGGACTAACTTGCGATATTCGCCCTTGTTCATTAACTTTAGGAATGAGCACCAACACAGTGCGATTTACATCGTCCATAGAATGACGACCATTAAGCAGATCTAAAAAAAAAAAGGTTAAGAACTTCATCACCAATTAACCGCCAGAAGGACCGAAAAACTTCCCGGTAAACCAACACTCGGTGCCTTTTGAGGATGAATCTGAAGGAAGGCCGAATAAATCTCCTCCTCAGTGAATTCCTGAAGAAGTCTATTATTCATCTCTTCAGTAACCATTGGAGTAACAGTGGAGAGAATGATAGCCGATGAAAGAGGATTAGATAACAAATAAAGAGTCGAAAAATAACTCGCATCCTTTTTATGAATGTCTGAGATATCATCAATCCAGATACCAGAATGAGAATAAAGTTCCTTAACATGATTGTGTTTGCACCGGTTTGAGGAACGAGCATGGAAATATGAAGTATTACGGTCACCTTGAGCCAACCAAATTATCCTGGAACGTTGACGCCAATAAGCTTCCGTGGAATTTAATTTTTGATGAAGTTCACGGTTGAGAGCAGCAAACTGGTTCAAAATTATCATCTGACATTGGTCTGCAAAGTATCCGCTTAAGCTGTTCTCGAAGATTAACAATTCAACCCTTAGTTTCAGCAAACTTCATTCGCTGTCAGCCTCTTAGCTCACTACCCACGCCATCAATTTTCTCCAACAAACCTGCACCTGATTGATTCCAGGTAACACAAACTTTAGCCACACACATCGGATCATGTTTCCAACAATCATCAAATTTAAAATAACTAGGGAGTTGATGAATATCTGCAGAAGGCAATGGCGATGAATTAAGTAAGAGATAGCAATGGTCCGAGGCAGCAGTGAATTCGCTTGTAGCCTCTACATGCGGGAACAAATTACGCCAGTCAAGATTGGCTACGAACTGATCTAATCTCTCACAGATTTGGGCAGTCGTCGATGATCCCTTATGCCAAGTAAACCAGCCAAGAGTAGGATGAAGGTCCCAACGATCATTGCGACTGATCATATCTCGGAACTACTACATATCAGCTAGAATGAGGACGTAGACGATCCAGCAACGCCCATGTATCCCGATGTCTCCGACGATCACTACAACCATGCAGACCAGTAAATCGGAATGATGCAAACGAACCAGCAACCGCTACATCAACATGAAGATTCGAATATGGAAGCGGTTGAACAGAAATTATCGACCGCCAAAGCAAAATCAAACCCGTGTAAGAAGAACTACTAGAAACATATAAACAACCCTCCATGGCCAACCGACGCTTCAGAACTTCAACACGTGGCCGCTGAAGCCGAGTTTCACAGAGGAATACTACATTTGGGTCCTTTAGAGCAAGTAGTTGCTCTAGAGTCCGAACTGTACGTGGGTTCCCAAGCCCACAACAGTTCCAGCTTAATATTTTCATAATTATCGGCCAGTCTCTGCTGAAATAGAGGAATTAGTAAAAACATCTGTGCCTTAAACCGAGCGGGTTAAATCAGGCCTTCGAACTCGTGGTCGCTTCACCGTGTAACATCATCCCAGAAGAGGTGGAAGATGAAATTCTTTTAAAAAGTACGAACCCCTTTTGACCATGGACCAGTAACCCGCCCTCCCGGTGCCACTATGACGGTAGCACTCGATGTGCAGCCCCAGAGAAACTGTCAACATCGTCATCTTTCATTGTAGGAGGACTCTCCACGGCAAGCAGAAGAGCGATGATAGATGTGGGCGCTGTGGTAGGTCTGTAACGAATACATTCTCTATACGAATTAGAGATATCACATCAATTGTATAAAATATTTACTATTTGAAAATCTTATAAAATTTTATTTGTTTTAAAATAAAACAACTTAATTGTTATCGTTATAATTATTTTATTGTATAAAACCAAAATAAAATACTTTAACTCAAGTCAAGTCCGATTTCCATACATTTTATGTTCGTATATATGTCAGCTAGAAAATTAAAATATAGTAGGATGTCATTATTGTTACTTGTTAAAAATTCTTTGACGATTGATGACAAGCTCAGCTCTTTACTCTTCTCGCTTTCTTTTACCTACGCATGAAAATCATCACACGTTAAGTATACTCTTAGTGAGACAATCAATAGAAATATTTAAGGCAATGCAACACAGAAATGTAAACAAAAATAATATTCAATGCATGATGATCACTTTACATGTATTCCAACCATGCTACTATATATTAAAATGATGTAAACCAGATATAAAATTTATTACCAATATACTTGCCATGTAGTTCATAAGCTCATAAGCTTATTCACCTGTTTATCATTTATTAACTCATATACCATAGCCCAAATATAAACATATGAGGTGTAACACCCTCAACTCACAACCCATATCCGACCCGGATACGAGTCCAGGATGTCACATTGACTATACAAAACAATATTCTTAAAAAAATGATAAAACATTTGGGCTTATATTATCAAATACAATAATATACATATGTTAATACAAGTTTATCAAAATACTCAGAGCATACACAACTTGACCCTTTGATTACATGCCAACATTCATTTACATAACAAAAGGACCTACTGATTAAGTCACCTCTGATCTGATAGTTGCAGGAGTAGTGTTGCCCATCTGCTTAACTTGTATCGTCTACTTTCTTGGAACCTACGTGTGAAACACTCACACGCTAAGTCATCGACATAGTGAGGCAATATAATAATAATAACAACAAAGAAATGTAATAAAAATGCCATAATAAGATGGAATGAGATGAAATCGTATACTTAACAATGCAGTTTATATCACCATGTTCCTTACCTATAAGCATATTACATTAACATTCATGAATTCGTATTAATAAGTTTATTGGCCCATAATACCATACTGAGAACCTAAGGTATGTGAGTATTGTAACATCCACAATACAGGGTTAGTGACCAAATTGTAAAGTTTCAGAATTTGGTGACTAAAGTAGAAGAATGAAATAGTTCAATGATTATTGGATATATATGATGAAGGTTATTTAGTAATTATTAAAGGAAATAAAGGGCAAAAGGGTCACTTGACCAAGAAATGAATTAAAAAAATGGGATTGGTAAGGATAAATACACGTGGAAAGGGAGAGAATTCTCCAGAGTTCTCTTCTCCTTTATTCTTCTTCTTCACGTGGAAGCCAAGAGCAAAGGTAAGTTTGATTTAGCTGTTGATTTCATGAAAGTTTTAAGTTGGATTTGAGTCTTTGGGGGTTATATAAGCTTAAGGAAAGCTTATATAAGTTTAAAACACCAAAGAGAGAGAATTAAAAAGGAATTTCTATTAAGGGTTTATAAATGAACTTTTATTATAAAAAGGTTTTTAAAGTTCCAAGGATGAATTTGACTTGTCAAGGGTTTAATTAAGAAGTTAGAAGCAATATAATTGATTTTGGAACATGTTGAAAATTTAGTGTAATTCTTTAATTACATATGGAGAATAGGATTTTGATGTTAAAGAGGTGATTAATGAATAGAAATGAGTTTGAATATGTGTATGTGAGTTGAGAACATGAGAGGGGATAAAAGATGAAGTATTTGAGTTGATTTGAGTAGATTTTCGGGATTAAAATTGAATTTTGAGCTATGTGCATCGATGCACATTCAAGGTGCACCGATGCATCAAGGGTAAACCTCTCGAAATTGTTCAGTGTGTATCGATGCACAGGAAATGCATCGATGCACCCATTAAAATGGAAACATCGAATGGGATTGGTGCATCGATACATCCCCTAAAATACAAACATCGAATGGGATTTGTGCACCGATGCATAGATAGTGCATCGATGCACCCGACTAGGGATGCATCGATACATGGGGTAGTGCATCAATGCATGCCTCTATTAAAAGTTGAAAATAGCTTTCTTTTTATCCTTTGGAGTGATAGTTTAGAATATATCAATTGGATATTGATATGTATCAATGTATGATTATGTAGATATCGAACATGAACAAGTTCCGGAACGATTATCAAGTTAAGATTCGATCGAAAGAAAAGAAATCATAAAAGTGAATCGAACTTAGTGAGGCCAAGGTGAGTGCATCTTATTTTATAGAATGATATGGAAATTGGACTTGTGATAAGTCTATCTCCAATAGTTAAAGTGCATGAAGTCTTGATTATAGGTATGTAAATGACATGAAATATATGTATGTTTGATTTTATGAATGTATATGTTTTGTATGTGCTATGTGAACATATGGTTATGTGCTATACTTGATGTATGAGAATCATATGAGAATAAGAGATGACAATGAGTTACATGCCATATGAACACAAGAGAAGTGTTATAAGCTAAGTGACATATGATTATGAAATCATATGAAAAGTGAAATGTACATATGAATATGTGAAGTGGTATGAATATAATGCCCATGTTATATGATATGAGAGCTATAGGTATAGTTGGCATGCCAAGAGTCGAGGGTCTACGCGGTCCTTCTGGACATACAGTAATCCTTCGGGATATTTCATAGTGGTTCTTCGGGACAAATCTCATAGCCCCTAGTGGAACCCCATACGAGCTGTGGTGACAACATAGTGCACAACCTCAATAGACTCACATATCTACAGTTCTCACAGGTACACATGGGCTAATAAGAGATAACATTGAATGTAATGTATGTGATGTATATATGTGTTTTGTGATATGAATTATATGATATATGTGTGTTAGTGATTATTGTATATGCTATAAGATATATGATATGAACTTAATTGATCATATAAACAAGATAATAGAAATATGAAAGGTGATAATATGATAGTGATAGGAAAGAAGATAATTATATGTATGCGTGGATTATATATATAGATGAATATATGAAGGTGCATAGTAGGAATTATTATATGTATATGTGGGTGTGATGCTTGTATGTGATATGTTAGTAGAAATTGTTCAAGCATGATTACGAGTTAGAGTTTTATTATATGTTTTATGTCTCACTAAGTCAACGACTTAGCGTGTGATTGTTTCACACGTAGGTTACAGAAGTGAGAAGAGTAAAGAGCTAAGAGGAGCAAGACAGGTCAGTATTTTCCTTACAAAGTTTCAGATCAGAAAATAGATGATTTAAATGTGTTTGGTTAATCTGAATATAGTTTATATGTACTAATTGAGTGAGTTGTATAGGCTCTGATCGATTTTTGGTTATTTTGGTCAATTTATGTAAATAAACAACTTTTATTTTAATGAAAGTTTTGAATTTTCTTTGAATTTTATCAAGAGTCAAAGTTTGAAAAGTCAATGTGACACCTCAGACTCGTATTCAGGTCGGATATGGGTTGAGGGTGTTACATTTAATGGTATCAGAGCTAAGGTTTAGCCGATTCTAGGCTTAAACTGAAGTCAAATGAGGTTTAAAAATGTGTACATGCCAACTAAAAGTGAAAATTTCTGATCTTATAGTGTAAGGAGTATGTTGTCTTGCTAATAGAATAAGATTTGTAGGATATAGTAGAAATTTATTATAGAAATTATCTAAGTGAATCGATAGTTGACAAATCTGATGGAGATAGTAATTCACCTGCCCTTTCCAGGCAGGATGAAGAGCAGAAACCTCAGAAAGTGTCTTATAAGATTAAAGGTTGATTTCAGAAAGTTGAAATCATATCTGAATAATGTAGAAAGTTTTTCACAGTTTTGAATCGGAAAAGTGATATGAAGTAGTTTTATTATTTCATGGATAAGATAGAATATGGTGAACAAGTGGCACCATAAGAGCGTTAAAAGATCAAATGATGCAGTGAGAATTGGTAGAAGAGTTCAAGAATAAGTGTATCAGTGACAAGCGTATAAAATGTATAAAGTCAGAGCTTATGAGTTCGAAACGAAGGGATAACATTGTGTATAAGCAAGAGTGTTTACATGATAAGGGTTTGTAGTTAAGACGAAAAGAGTTAGCGTTGGCTAACCAGAGTACGTGATAAAAATGTACTGGAATTATAAGATTATAAGTATTGTCAGGATATGATAACCAAATATGAAATGGATTTGGATACA